TTTCAATCAACATCACAAGTCTGCGCTTTGATGCTCCTTCAATTGCCATTCGAATCCCTCACAGATGCCTCGAGTTATTTGTATATAGACTTTTGATTGTATATGTATATATATTTATAGCTCGATATAAAAGGTTTTTTCGGTTGCTAAAAACAAGCGCTAGGTGGAGTTGGTTGGGCGGCTTATGAGTAACAAAACTGAATGAATTTCGAGTAAAAAGCACACAAACACACATACACACACAGCATCAGCATCATCTCATCATTATTATCATCATAATCATCATCAACAACTGCACCCAAATGAAAGTTTCTAATTAAAGTCGGTGTACTGATCCGAATTGGGGCTACGAGGCGTGGCTGCTGTCGCCGTCGATGGCTCCAAGCTGGCCGCCATTTGACGCAGATTATCCACGCCAGCCAACAGTTGCCTAAGAAGTGATAAAGAGAGGGAGAGAGTTTAGCTTTGCTATTGATTTCGGCAAACTTAATCATAACTGACCTCAAATTCTGCTCAGCATTGTCCGCAGCTCGCAGTAAATCGCGCGACAATTGATGCGTTCTGGACGGACGCGATGTGTTGCTGCTGCTGCTGTGGCTGCTGCCTGGCGTTATCACCGAAGCCCCACCAACAGCTGCTGCTGCTCCCGCAGCGCCTGCGGCACCAGCCGTTAGCTCATCACTACTGTGTCGCAGCTCGAACAGCTCAGCCTTTAAAGGAATGCATTAAAAATATATATATATAAATTTCTCCTCATGGTTATCATTCATATCTACCTCCAGCTGCGCCACCTGTCGCCGCAAGCGCTGCGTATTCTGACTTTGTGCTGTGGCCGCCAACGTTTCACGTCTTCGTGCATCGCCCAAAGCCAGCAACTGCTGCTCATAGTCCTGAGCGCGCCGAGTTTGCGCATTCAGCTCTACACGCATCTCTTGCAGTTCGCGCAGCAGCCGCTCGTTCTCTTGGCGCAGTGTGCAGGACACACCGCCATCCGATTCCTGGGGCGGAGAATCTATGGAATTCGAGGGCAGCCCAATGGCCACATCCGCCATGCGCTGTGACGAGTGCAGAATGGGACCGTCAGACAGAAAATCGGGCAGCATTTTAACCGTAGACCCAGTCGCATCACCAGCGGATTGCATCGTTGAAGTGTTGGGCAGACCAGCGGTCGCGGCAGCGGGCAAGAGCAGAGCACCACCATTGCCGCCACCCATGGCGCTGCTGCAGCTGGGCGCCTCGGCAGCGCCTAAAGGCGAGTTGGGTGGCGAACTGAGATGCGCCTCCTGGCACCACGAGTCCGGTAAATGATCCTGCACAAAGTCGGGCAGAGCCGATGCGGCGCCAGCCACGTTTGACGTGTCCAGCGGCAGATCGAGCTTCATTTTGGGCGAAGCCGAAGCCAGAACCAAGCGATTCGGACGCAAAGCAGGTCGACGCCGAGGCGACGCTGCAGCAGCGGCAGCGCATGCAGCATGCGGTGGCATATCGTAGCTGGAATAGGATCGCGGCACGTAGCGCGAATTGCTGGCCGACACGTGCAAACTCGACGAAGATGAAGGAAATATATCTAAGAAAGAAAATATATTGAGAATCTTTTTCCATTCTTATGCAGACAACTCACCATCGTCGACGTGGTCATCGTACAGGCGACTATTCCGCACATGGGCTAGGCCCAAGTGTTCGTAGTCATCATCGTCATCCAGCATGATGCCACTGCGCTCCACCTCTAGTCGCAAATCAGGACGTAGCCGTGTCGAACTGGAGCTGTTGACACTTCCGCCACATGCTGCATACTCGGCCAGACTCGCCTGCGAGTCAAAGGAGCTGAACCGTGGCGAACGCTTCATCTTAGAGGCGGCGCTGCCATTCAAATCCGGCTGCATATGGCTCACGGATGCAGATTGGGGAACCTTTGGCCTGGCGCCCGTTGACGTTTGCAGTGCAGCGGTTGATGTTGAGCTTGCATTTGTGTTGTTGCTGTTGCTACTGCTGCTGCAAGCACTCGTGCCGCCCGTTGCATCAAGGGACGTGACTGTGCTGCTTGGCGCTGTAATTGTGCCGCTGCTGTTGAGAAAGTGCTTAAAGGAAAATGTTGATGTGGATGAGGAAGAAGCGGAGGCGGTGGCATTCGTGCTGTTTGTTGCACTCGCTGTTGCTGTTGCTGGTAGGGGCGCTGCGGCTGCTGTTGCTGTTGTAGCATTCATGGTCGCCGAACCAGTCGTGGCCCGTATATTTGTGTAATCACCACGACTAGAGCTGCTGGCGCTGCCATTTAGCCATAAGTCTGCCACCAGGTCGTTGACATTGTCGCTACGCGTACTTGCGGGTAACTTGACATCGCCGCAGGCTCCGTTGCCATCACCGGTCAGGTGCTGTTGCTCCTGTGCAGCTGTGGCTGTATTGGCAGCAGCGGCAGCATCATCCGTATTGATATTGTTCCCATTGCCATTGGCCATTTAAATGTTGCAGCCACCGTTAGTCACTGAATTCCGTCGCCAGTGGTTTGAGTTAACTATGCTCTTCTTCTGCTCCTGTTGTGTATACTTCTTATGGGATTTTGTATCAGTTTTCGCTGCAAATTTAGTTAATTTGGCGTTGCATTTCTCTGCCGACTTTTCACTAAAGTTTTTGTTGCTTAGAGCTGGGCACAAACGATATTCTACATTCTTTTCTGTTATCGATGAGTCGAGACTAACGTATCGATGACTATTCTCAAATGAGCGCTAAAGAAGCAACCAGGATTCAAATTATATTTCTAATAAAAATGAAAGAAAGTATAATAAATTTTTTAAAAGTTAAGAAATTAGAAAATAGTATGTTTCTGTCTGATTTGTACTGGTCAAAGTATTGTGAAATTTTAATTCATGTTGCATAAGTTCCGTTACAAATGTTAGTTTGCTACAATTGTTTATTACTCACGTCTCATCTCTATTTATGATACCTTTGTAATATTCGGAGTGACCAAGATGTGTATAAAAATACTAGCACTGACTTATATTTTTCATAGGGATTTTTCCGTTACCAGTGTACGCTCACACAGCTCTCGTGGTTTTTGTTTTGTCTTCGCACTCCTTGCCTATTGCTTCCGAGGAGAACGGCGAGTCGGGTATAAACGTTGCTAATTGGCGCAATATATGCATAATTAATGTAATAAAAAGCGAAAGGCAAACGTGAATGTTTTATGTAAATAATATAAAAAAGTGAACGTGTAGTGGATAAAAATTAACACGAATCTAATAAGCAAACATAAAAATAACAAAAACAGTGCAAGGGCGGCGTAAAGAAAGTGGAAAAGAAAATTCTGCGTAGCAAACAAACCGGTCGGCGCACAACATACAAACATACATACATATACACACATGCATACAAATACATACAAAAAACGTCGTCAATATAATATCGTATGCAAAAGACGCATTTTAAACAAAACTACAAATCGTCGTGTACTCAAAAAGTAAAAACGTACGCAAATCGTACAATACATACATATAAATAACAGACTGTGTTTTATATTTGCGCTGACCAAACGAAAAACGCAAAAGGCGGCCGCCATATGCGACAGCGACTTGGACTGCTGTTCAGGCTGCGGGGGTGACAGCGCCAGCGGCGTAGCAAAGGTGGTGAGAGCAAGAGCTAAAACGACGCGACGCGACGCAAAGCAATACAACACAACGCTCACCTTTCGCGTATTGTAAATTGTTTTTGCAAACACACAAACTAACCCCTCCGACCGACCGAGCGACCGGCCGCGCTGCAGCAGCCGCATCGTCGTGTGTTCCACTTTCGTTAGGCAGCGCCCCTTTTGCTACTACTATGCACACGCTGTCCTGATTTCGATGCAATAAACACAGAGAGAGCGAGAAAGACAGTAAGAGGAGGACCTATTAGTGGAAATGTATTTGTATTGGTGATCAGTAGCAGCATCAGCTTTCCATGCTAAGCTTACTCTCAGGAGTAAAAGTCGAAAGAGCGCAGAGATCAATTGATGACAATGTATTAGTGATCAGGAGCAGCTAAATATACTCTTTCGAGCTCTCCTCTGTGTGCGTGTGTGCCAAATTATATTTAATTAATAAAAGAGCGCATTTTAAATAAAATGCAACGGAGCTGCTTCAGCGACTGCAGCAGGCAGGTAAGTTCCAATTAGGACTCGGCTAAACTTAAGTACCTATCCATTCATCCTTCCATCCATGCATCCATGCATCCAGTCGTGACTCTCTTTTATTTTATATTATTTTTTTTTTCTGTGGGGTTGTTTCATTCTCTTCTATTCAACTTGGCAGCAGCCGCCTGGCCACGGCCCCATTTATTGACTTGTCTACATTTCTTCTTCGCCTTCTGCTGCGGCTGCTGCTGCTGCTGCTGTGTCTGTCATTGCCGTTGCCCGTCCCTTTCCACTGTTCCGCTTTTGTATACAAATTATGGTGCGCTTTGCTTTGCCTGTTGTTGTTCTTGTTTTTACAGTTGTTGTTGTTTTAAGCTTTTATGGCATTCGCTGCTGCGTCGTGCATTCCACTCATTTGTTGTTTTTATACACACACACATATATATATGTACATATATGCACATATAGTGTAAACGTTATAAATATAGATTTTAATTTGCTTCTACCGCATTCGAAATTGATTTCTGTTTTGGCCCACAAGCTAATAATTGCCCCTTGCCCTTGCAAGACGCCAAGAAAAGTGAAAATTGAACTGTGCCGAGGTGGGTGGGTGGCTTTTGGAATGGATGGTGGGGTGTATATGTCTTGGTGCTTATATTCTTTTGCACCTTTGGCCCAACCTTGTGGCGTCTTCTTTTGGCTGGTAATTCAATTAACATATAGCTTCATCCGTCGCCCACAATCCCCATCCGCCGTAACCCTTCAGAACAATTTGTTGACCTATTTTCGCTGTAGTTTCGTTCTTTTATTTCTTGTGTTTTTGGTGCTCTTTGGTTATTGTGCTGTTAATTAATATTAGTAATTCTCTTGTTTTCCCTTGCCTTCTAATTCGTTCAGTTTGATAAGCAGCTGGAAATTAAAAGTTTATACTACACGAAGCATTATGGTTTCATTATCTTTTCTTTGGATTGGCCGCCGCTCTTAGGCGAGTCATAATTTGCGGGGGAGTGGGTGAAGGTGGAAAGGTGTTTTCGTTTAATACCCTATATTTTTATGGTAAATGTGTGTGAAGAAGGTAGATTGATTTGATGGTAGGG